TTGTTCGTTTGTTTGTTCGTTTTTTCGTTCGTTTGTTTGTTCGTTTGTTTGTTCGTTTGTTTGTTCGTTTGTTTTTTCGTTTGTGCGTTCGTGTGGTCGTTTGTTTGTTCGTTCGTTTGTTTGTTCGTTCGTATGTTCGTTCGTTTATTTGTTTCTTTAATTGCTTGTTCGTTTGTTCGTTCGTTCGTTTGTTTGTCCGTTTGTTCATTTGTGCGTTCATTCGTGTTTTCGTTTGTTTGTTCTTTTGTTTGTTCGTTCGTGTGTTCGTTCGTTTGTTTGTTCGTTCGTTTACTCGTTTGTTTGTTTGTTTGTTCGATTGTTCGTTTGTTCGTTTGTTCGTTTGTTCGTTTGATCGTTTGATCGTTTGTTCGTTTGTTCGTTTGTTCGTTTAATCGTTTGTTCGTTTGTTCTTTTTTGTTCGTTTGTTCGTTCGTTCGTATGATTGTTTGCTTGTTCGTTTGTTTGTTCGTTCGTTTTGTTTGTTCGTTTGTTTGTTCGTTTGTTTTGTTCGTTTGTTTGTTCGTTTGTTCTTTAATTTGTTTGTTAGTTTGTTAGTTTGTTCGTTCGTTCGTTCGTTTGTGTGTTCGTTTGTGTGTTCGTGTGTGTGTTCGTTTGTGTGTTCGTTTGTGCAATCGTTTTTTTGTTCGTTTGTTTGTTCTTTTTTGTTTGTTCGTATGTTCGTTTGTTTGTTCGTATGTTCGTTTGTTTGTTAATATGTTCAATTGTTTGTTCGTATGTTCGTTTGTTTGTTCGTTTGCTCGTTTGTTCGTTTGCTCGTTTGTTCGTTTGTTTGTTTGTTTTTTCTTTTTTCGTTTGTTCGTTGTTTGTTCGTTTGTTTGTTGGTTCGTTTGTTTGTGTGTTTGTTCGTTTTTTCGTTCGTTTGTTTGTTCGTTTGTATGTTCGTTTGTTTGTTCATATGTTCGCGTGTTCGTTTGTTCGTTTTTTGTTCGTTTGTTCGTTTGTTTGTTCGTTTGTTTGTTCGTTTCTTTGTTCGTTCGTTTGTTCGTTTGTTTGTTCGTTTGTTCGTTCGTATATTTGTTCGTTCGTATTTTGTTCGTTCTTTTGTTCGTTCGTTTGTTTGTTCGTTCGTTTATTCGTTCGTTTGTTTGTTTGTTCGTTTGTTCATTTGATCGTTTGTTCATTTGATCGTTTGTTCGTTTGTTCGTTTGTTCGTTTGTTCGTTTGTTAGTTCGTTAGTTTATTTGTTCGTTTGTTTGTGCGTTCGTTCGTTTGTTCGTTTGTTTGTTCTTTCGTTCGTTTGTTCGTTTGTTCGTTTGATCGTTTGTTCGTTTGTTCGTTCATTCGTTTGTTCGTTCATTCGTTCGTTCGTTTGTTCGTTCGTTTGTTCGTTTGATCGTTTGTTCGTTTGTTCGTTTGTGCGTTTGTTCGTT